ATTTGAACCACTTTAGACACCCCTCCACTTCCACTATTTACATTATTCGGGCTGTTGTATTCATCTTTATTCTCATATTCACGACTTTTCGGCCGTTGTTCGCTCCGGACTTCTTCAGGTGATATACGTTGGAAATTCGAATCGAACCCTTTATTTAGTCCACAGTTCTGGGTGCCATGACTTTTCTGGATTCCATTTAGTAACTAACTAGATTGGTTTAAATTTAGTTTGTTTAGTTTTTATTGTCGAATATGACTGTTGTGGTGTCCTCCCCCTAAAGAGTCTATGTTAGACTCATCCGCCTGCTATAAGAGTAGTAGGAGAAAAGACCTTGGAGGAACAGTCGAATAGATTGAACGCTGGGTCAACCGACACACACTCACTAGTCGTGTAATACTCTTCTGCTGTACTTACTGTTTAATATATGATATATCTGTAATACTTATTTTGTTATTTCTTTAACCATTTACTTGGGTGACAACAATGACAATAAAGATGAGGACAACAGTCCAAATAATGTAAATAGTTGCAATATCTCATCTCAGAAATATAGGCAGGCGCATCTCGATGCTGTAATACTCGACATCACTTTAGAATCCAAATAATTTTTAAATTTAATTTTACAATTAAGATATGGCATTTTTTAATTCAAAATTACGACTCACTTCCGGTATTTGATTGTGGTAACGGATGTTAGAAAACATTTCCAGTCAAGTGGTTTAGATGAAGAGACGTAGTTGATTATTATTAATCATTTGTAAAGAAACTTTTCAAACTGAAAAAAAAATGACTGCAGAAATATACACTCTTTTGTACTTTATAAATTACTCTTCTAATTTTTGGCCGCTAATCGATCTGTTTGGTATGAATCTGTGCACCTGTTTTCAACCTTCGCGTCCAGTTCACTTGTGGGTACATATGCCTTCTCCGCCTATATATCGAATTAGTAACCGAAATACAACGAACAAGCAACAAGAAAACCTTTCAAAACAGAAATGTGTTTTTGTATAGCTGGAGGCTTTACAAGACGGACGTTCTTCAAAACATACCATTAAAACAAGAACAAGCGCTGTAAATGGGCGTTTTTGTAGGCAGACGGTCAATAACTTCTGTGAGTGGACAGTTTTTTCTCTTTTGACTCAATCAGATAAATTTTATGATGATTTTACTTATGTAAACACAGTCAGCGCCTTTGTTTTTCTTTTGTTTTTTGTTTGGTTTTCTGTGGTATGAATAGATTCACTTATAGCCCTGCGAATAAGGAGCGAAATTTCCCTTAAGATATCAGCCTATAAGAGAAATTAAAGTTCAAATTTCTAGCTGTCAATAATAATAATAATAATAACAGAACTCGAATCTTTCATACTTCTCCATTCGGTGACCGGGTAAGAATCCAGGCCAATTCCCGGGTGTATATGATTATTTTGATCTACTCCGTCATAATACTATATAATACTAAAAGTCTGTGAATGGTGTGTACGTCGGCCGTCAGGCGTATAATGATTTAAGTTTCTTTCCACCTCTCTCTCTTTCTACCTCGGTCTTTCCCCCTCCGACAAAACAAATTGACGGCAGACGACTACAACAAATTAATTTTTTTAAAATTTAACTAAGACTTATAAAAAAGCTCATAATAGCAATATGAATCTGGTAAACAGTATCAACAGAACTAGTAAAATTATTACTGAAAAATTAAAAATAAGTGATAGGGTAGGCAAACTAGCTGAAAAGGAATGCTACATCACTTTTAAGGGCCACAAACAAGATTTTGAGGAAGACCCCACTAGCAGAATGATAAACCCAACCAGACATAGGAAAGATTAGAAAAAGAATCCTAGAAAGGATCACTAGGCAAATCAAAAACGACCTTGGATTAACACTCTGGATTAATACCAAAGAAGTTATCAATTGGTTTACCAACATCGACAATAAGCCTGATTGCACCCTAATACAGTTCGATATTGTGGATTATTACCAGTCAATATCAAGGGATCTCTTCACGACTGCACTGGAGTTTGCTACAGTATATTCTGACTTAACTAAAGAAGAAAGGAACATAATTCTTAGTGCAAAAAAATCTGTCCTCGTCCATAATGGGGACCAATGGATTAAAAACACTTATGACAATTTTGACATCACCATGGGATCTTTAGACTCTGCAGAGTCTTCTGGCCTTGTCGGTCTATTTATACTGTACAATCTAACTGCGCACCGTGAATTAAACATTAAGGACATCGGGCTATACAGGGATGACGGGCTCATGATAGTGAGGAGCTCCACAAATTTTAAAATAGATAAAATTGGAAAGATAATATATAGTGAATTCAGAAAACTAAATTTAAAAACTATAGTCAACACTAAATTAAAAAGGGTAAACTTCCTCAACGTAACTCAACGTAGACTTAATGAACAACATATACCTACCTTACAGAAAATCTAACACTAATCCCTTGTATGTACACCCTAAGTCAAACCACCCTCCATCTATAATTAAGCATATACCCACATCAATAGGGAAAAGAATCAGCATGAACTCCGCTAATGAGGAAATATTCCGACAACATAGTAATTTTTATAACACAGCCCTAAAAAATAGCGGATACAAAAACGCTAACATAAGTTATAGAAACAATAGCACTAACAGGAAGAAAACAGGAAAAGCAAAATCATCTGGTATACCCCTCCGTTCAACCAAATGGTCAGTACTAAGTTAGGACATAAGTTCCGAGCTTTAATTGAAAAACACTTTCCTACTAATAGCAGACTTAGCGATATCTTTAATAAAAACACCTTAAAATTAAGTTGCAGTTGCACTGAAAATCTAGAAAGAATCATAAAAAAAACATAATAATAAAATCCTGGAAAATCGTGCATGCCAAAGCAGTATTAATAAAAATCCTAAACTAAAATTAGACAAAAATAATGAAAAATTATGTGATTGTAGAAACCCTGAAGACTGCCCGTTGGAAAATAAATGCCTCATAAAATCCGTGATATACAAATGCACCATCTCATCCATTTAGAGTCCTAACACTGATAGGATATACATTGGGTCAACGAAGAATGAATTAGATGGAGACAACACAAAAGCTCCTTCAATAATATTAGAAATAGAAACCAGACATCTCTATCCAAATATTTTTGGCATTTAAAAGAAATGAATAAAACTCCAAAAGTAAAATGAAAAATAATAAATAGAACAAGAACTTGTAAAACCTGGGATGACCCATGCGCTTTATGCCTACATGAAAAACTACATATTATTAAATTTCTAAATAATGAAAATTTATTAAATCATATACATGAGTTAACGGTTTTTTGCCGACATCAACAAATTTTCGCATTAAATAATTAGCATAAAAAAAATTAAATTTCATAGTTTAATAAGACTTAAAAGCTTAACCCAATCATTAAATAGAAAAACCATTTATGAAGTCGTCAAAAAAACAAATAGTAGTTCAGTGCGACGCGTTTATAGATGAAACAGCCATTTGGATAAAAAATAAATAAATAAAATAAAATAAAACAAAATTCTCTAGACACTTCATGACATACCATGGTGCCAAAAAGCTATCTTTCACTGTAACTGACCAGACAATGTGCGTACATGAATGCCATCACCCCATTGAAATGGATAACCCCACCCTATCTCGGCTTGACCTCTTTCAGAAGGTGACTGATATGCGGAATAAATTAACTGTTAGACCCCTAATCAAAATGATCACCCCAGCCTTTTCCATAGTCATTAATTTTGCGAATGAACATGCTTATAAAGATGCGCAAATTTCAAGATTGGTTATTCCTAAATTTTCGCTTGAGTATGAAAAAGGGCTTGATACCTTAATTCAATTTAATTTTAATAATTATATTGAGGATTTCGGCTCTCGTTTTTGAAACATGAGAACACTTAAGTAGCGAAGGAATGATATTTTTTTAAATAATTATAAAATATATATATATATATATTTGATATATATATGTATATGTATATTGACCACTAATATTATCAATATATATATATATATGTGTGTGTGTGTGTGTGTGTGTGTGTGTGTGTGTGGTGATCTTCTAAGCGTGGTTTAGATGTGGCACAAGGCCGAACGTATGGGGTACCTAGTGAGGACCGAACTCAATTTTCAGTCGTAATTGATCTAGCAAGACAAGCTTGCTAACCATTACGCCACGTCGAAGTGCCCCCCCCGCGCGTGTTTGTGTGTGTGTGTGTGTACGTATGTGTAACAAAGTAGGAAAAGTTGTGATGCGTTTCGTCCCTTAGACCTTCATCGCACGAGGTTTGTTTACGTTGATGCGACTGCACATGCGCACGAATGAGAGGCGCTGGAAAAATTTAAATTTAAAATTTTTTAATTGTTTTGTGTCTATAATCTCGCCAATTTAATCTAGATTTCTTCTCTTTCTATTTGTTTCCATCATCTTTGTTATTAAATATCCCAAAATTGTGCTAATAGAAAATCTATTATGAATGGTGAAACGGTGTAAGAACCTGGACGTAAATTTATTGTGGATGGACTCGCGATTAAAACATTTTCTAAAGATTTTCATCTCAGTGAATTATTTTCTCTTTTAATTAGACTGGCATTTTTATGACAAAATTGTAATGGGTCTCATTACGACGCGCAACTAATGTACTGTTTTTGGTTTTTGTTTTTTTGTTTTTTTACATGTCTCTTGGACAGCATGGAACATTTTAATTATAAATACCAAATCCAGGAAGCGCACACAAATATTACACCGATACTCGGCAGATGCCCGTTAAATGAGAATATGAGCCTTACAGAACACAGTTACCATACTGATCATCGGTACAAGTGCAGATCCATACATCCCTATTTTCGTTTGATTCGTTTTCGACGGTTTATAAACCCTTTTCCGATTATCTAATGCTACAAAATATTTTGAGATTATAATATTTTTTGAGATAATAATTATCTTCTGGTGTAAGTTGTACTAAATAACCCATTGCTAAAAGGAAGGAATAGATAGATTCATGCCTTTCCCAATGGTATTGTCGTATAAGCGAATATAACGAACCCAACCGGAATTGGAACTCGGCTTGAGAATTCTGGGCGATTATCTCCGTTTTTCGGTTAACAATTCCTAGCCATTATCCGTTAAACCAAGGGTCGGTAACCTACGGCACGCGTGCCACACATGCCACGCCAAGCAATTTCCAATGACAGGCAGCCGCAAATGACATGACGAAGTCCGAACCAGTTACTACTACAACACAAAGAAGATATTAAGCTGTTTCAAAACTGCTCACTCGTTGGACTCCCATTAATAATAAAAACTTTTTAAAAAATCTTTTAAAAACAGTTTACTTCTATTAATGTGGTTTACATATTATTATATATTTAAAACATTTTTTTTATGTTTATACGTTCTTTTTATATATAAAATACTTAAGTAAATGCTCTATTTATAATAAACAGTATTAACAACATTTACCAGCCTGAATGTCCGAGAAATTTTCATAGAAAATACGCGTCCAACGATAGGAATCGAACGTATATCTACGAAAATTTCTCGGACATTCAGGTTGGTAAATGTTGTTAAACAGAGCATTTACTTAAATATTTTATATATAAAAAGAACGTATAAACATAAAAAATGTCTTAAATAATTGTCGGACTTTGTCCATTTCATAATGTATCTCTATCTATAAAAAGCAGGATGTGTGTGTGTGTGTGTGTGTGTGTGTCCGCGCGCGTGTGTGTGTGTGTGTGTGTGTGTGTATAACGAAGGCACGGCCGCAATTTTCGACGGATTTGCACGAAAATTTACATGCAAATGCTCCAAGTTAGAGGGAAGGGCAAGACCGACCTTGCATATCCCAACTCCCATCGATAGTGGAAATAATCGATTTTTTCATGCTTCTACGGCAGTTTTCATGTAGTTTGCGCCAATTTTCTACTGGCCAGAGTGAAAGCCTATAGCTGGCTGCCATGAATAGGCAGGAAGATTCTATTGGCCAGGTTGAGAGCCAACAGCTGACTGACACGAATGTTAACTAGCATGCTAGCATGCAAAAAAAATCGATAGCTGCATTCGTCACAAGTGGGAAAAATTTAAATCTGCATGGCACTTTACTCCAATTGGCTCATTCGCTTGCTTAAACTCAACGTTGATACTGATTCCGCAGAACTGGGTTGGGTGTGAAAAAGTATTTGTTGTTAACATTCTTTTTTCATTCGGTTTTTCCAGTTACGAGTCATTTTTAAAGCTGATCATTTTGTGTTCATTTGGCTTAGTTCTTTTTTCGTAACAGATTTAATGTTTAGTATAGAGCTTAGAGTGTGAGATAGGCAAGAAGTAAGGCATGTAGCAACATCAGCACGGGAAAGGGCACTCCTTTAAAGGTAAGGAAGGGCAAAAATATTGTAAGTCAAATGATAGCGATTGCTGTATGAGTTTTTGATTCAAGCAGGGGCAACGCCGGGCCATGATGCTAGTTATTATATATATTAGTATATAAAATATATTGTAGAAAAGCTATATTGACCTTGACTTGTATAAAAATACGTGTGCTGTTGGCGCACTGAATGATTTTAAAACCCTAAGCCGGTACATAGCAAAATTTTGCCTGTCCATGCATTAGACCACCCACACACCCAAGCTTACATATTGACCAAGATTGACGTCGCTTAACTTCGGTGGTCCTATAGGACTGGGATTTTAAAGTCCTATGGCTGGAAGCCTACTATTTTAATTAGAAGGATCTAAATTGTATAAAATATATTAAGTTGAATGACAACTAATCTCTGTTTTGGGAAACCAATTATAATGACGAATGTGCCATCTTATTTCTAATCATAGGTGACAGTTTAGAATAAATTTGTTGTACGCTAACATGCGACTATATTCAATGCAAAGAACAATGGATTGACATAGATAAATCTCCACAAATGACTGAAAGAAAAGCTGAGTTCAGTGGAAGATAGATAATGATGTGCCTGTTGTAGGATCGACAGATGATTATACATTTAATGTTCTTAGAATGCAATGAAATACTGTATGCTCATCTATAATGTTTGGTCGTCACCAGGATAATTGGAGATTGAAAAATGTTATTCTCTATGGTAACACAAGAATTACAGCAAGAATGGTTATCGGTCGTTCTGTTCTACTGCACTCGCCATAATTACTTCCTACCAACATTTTTCGATCGCTGCAAAACGTTCCGAAGGCGGAAATATTTCTTTAATGAAATCTAGATTGCTCTCAGAATACCATGTATGGAACGTATGAGTAAAGAGGAAGGTGAAGGAAAATAGAAACAAAAAAGAGACTTATTTAAGATGAGAAAGAAACAGTTAAAATTCTTAGGGTACATAATGAGGACATAGGGCTTAGAGAATCTGAAACTCAAAAGACATTGAAAATAAAAGTGAAAGACGGAAATAGCGCGTAACCTACCTAGGGAGCTAACGGCCGAGTCGAGAGAGTTCGGGCGAACGCCGACCGCGACGTGCTGCCATTGTCGTTGCCGGACGCAGGTCGTACGCGCGGCCGTGGTAGTCAAACGGAGCGAGCATCGAGCTGTGTCGAGTACGGAAAGTTAGCGAAAATCGCAAAGAAACGTTCACCAATCAGACGAAACCGTTTCGCTGCCATTTTATTCGCCTGCCGAACCCGTCGAAATGGTTCCGCTTTCTGGCAGTGAAAATTTGAAAAAAGAAATCATAGGGGCTCTCCGATGAAGCAGGCAGGCTCGGCCTGACAACCCGGCACGCATCTTCTGTCCCTCCGGTGGACGAATGCGAGCTGGTACCCCGGTTGTGATGGGTGCCGACTACGGGCAGTCGTATCTAGCCGGCGATCGGCCTGACTGCTATTGCGGTCGGCAGACCGTGGTAGCCGAAAAAAACGCGCAACTGCCGCTCGCTTACAGGTAGCGAGCGGCCGAGTCGACAGGCTCGTAGTCCGGGCGCTCGACGACCGCGACGTCTTGCCGTCGTCATCGCCGGACGCGTGTCGTAGTAAGAGAGTCGATCGGTGTCGAGTGTGTAAATGGTTGGCAGAAGAGAGAGTAGGGGATATACTATGAAAGCAAATATTGCTAATATCTACAAAGGAAAGGAAGTTGTTGAGAGCCATGATCGTCCACATCTTGAACGGTAGGAGATTCTTCAGGACATTAAAATACATCCCAGATATTTAAGTTTCTGTTCATGTGTTGTATAGCCCCTTTGCTCTGGGGGTAATCTTGAGGCGACGGTCTTGATTCAAACATATGTTGCATTCTTCTCTCTATCACCTTCCGGTCGGGTGATCGCTAAGTTTTAGTTCGGAGATGAATGAGAACTTCAACAAAAGGTATTTTTAAACAAATCGACCTGTATAGATCTAACAAGCCAATGGGGTCTCTCTATCCAACCCCACTGGAGAGCAAGTTCCCCGCACACGAAAATAACACGTCTGCATTCTTTGACGCGTAAAACTGGCCGGCGCTCGTCTTAACTTAAGACGAAACAACTTTCTATCTCTCTAACATTCCCACGTTCGCTCTGCCAATCAAAATCGAGATCCCTATTTTGTCTACCAGCTGACCCCAAGGTGAGCCTCACAAGGTCTGAGCCAAATACACTGCCATTAAAAATATTAGTCTGTAACTATTATTTAACGCTGGCTTTGTTTTTGACTTGGGCAGTTCCTTCCTCTTTCTGACAATCATGGATTGACATTGAAGTGGAAAGAAAATGTTATGTTTCGGGCTCCAAGTTCACTAGAGAAAATTGTGAATTAATGCTTTGGTTCGTGAAATTATCGACATAGTAATTGTGAGTTCAATCTCTGGATCGGGTAGTGTATAACTGGCACTCAATAACTTAGTAGTACTATATAAAAAAAAGAACATGCCAAGATATCCCTAGCCAGTGGAATGTTACCAGCCTTACTCCGTATATCAAATAAAGGTTTCAGTTCGAAATTGACCGTAGGTTACCCAGATCCGTATACACATGAAGAAGGCCGTAGGGCACAACGACCAAAACGTTGTAATAACAACAACAAGGATTAGGATAATAGTCCGAATATAAATAGTTTAAATTAGTCTATAATTAATCTTCAAATGTTACTTCTGGAATTTTTTTTATTTTTTATATTGTCATTTGATTAGCTACTGTAAATCAATAAGTGTCACTCATTTTTCATTCTATAATTCATTGATTGTTTATATATCATGTATATTTAAAAATTAATATGCGAAAATTGATGTTAATAGTAAGAATGATACAAAATATATCTTATTTATTGCTGGTTTGGGTAAAAAAAAAAAAAGGTACCATGGATAAAAGAGCAGATCCAGTTCCTTCTCACTCCTTGAATTAACACCTGAGTGAGTGACTATGTCTTTAGGAATATAACCATACTCCCACACTTGGCCATCCGCGGGTTGGGATTCAGAGTCGTCTTACTCCTAGACCGATTTACACCTAAGGCAATAGAACCCAGTCTGTCCTGCTATTTAACCCATAACTGGGGAGAAGTTATGGATTTATACCTTCCAAAAGGTCATTTGTACGTAAGTGAATGTAATGATTCAACTGGAATGCGAACACGGCTTAACTGATTCGATTAACGTCTATTCGTTACTCCACCATTAAGGTTAAATAAGTAAAATTATTTCTAATGACGAAGAATTAGTTCTTGAGAAATTAATGCTTCTGATATATGAATATGATTTTTACTCCCGCTCTACAAAAAGCGACATTAGTTTCCCAACAACGTTTTATTACTGAAAATATATTATTGAAAATATATTATTGAGAATATATTAGTGAGAATATATTATTTATAAAGAGTAGTTTTCGGGGGCGCATTTGGAAGTAAAAGCAAACATTAGCAACATACGATAATTCCTTTGTGGTTATGCAATCGCCTTAGAGAAAGATAAGAAAAAGTGATATTACATCTAGGTTTAACAAGTCTGATATTGGAAGAACATTGTACGTCATTGACCCCTGTGCCTTTAGTCAAACTAGAACTCATAGAAATATATTAATTAATTTGGTTACAAGAAAACACGTTAAACAGAAAGCCATCAAAAACCAGCCTCTCCCTTTAAGGAACGTCATCTAGAAAAATGAAAACGTAATTTTTTCCCTTGTGTATTTTCGTGCATTCCAACAAGATATATATTTGTTTAGCGAAGAAGATAATTTTTATATTTTTATTTTCGATATATATATATATATATATATATATATATATATATATATATATATATATATATATATATATAAGCAAATATATGGATATAGATCCGACAGTATGAAGAAAATATACGGAAAAAAACAAACAAAAATCTTATATACAATTATGCTGTTTTAATGTCCGACGTTGACATATTAACATTAAAACAGCATAATTGTATATAAGGATTTTGTTTGTTTTTTCCGTATTTTTTTTATATATATATATATATATATATATATATATATATATATATATATATATATATATATATATATATATTAGGATTATTTATTTCTAATTAATTTCATTAAAATACAGCTTTTCATTTTGCTGTTGCATGTTAGCTCAGCGTAGAGGTTAAAACTATTTGAAGGTGCTTTGTTATTTATTCTTACAAGAGAGAGCGTAAAAATAAGCAGTGTTTGTGCTAGACGACGCTATGTCCTCAACAAAAAGAGACAGCCGAAGGTGTTGGCAACATACTGGGAATGAGGAAATCAAGCGGAAAAAAAGATGTTTATCGATCTGGGTAGTCTCAGAACAAAGAATGGAAAATGTAACAGAAATCTGACGACTGATAGAAATAACGAAAAATAACTGCCAGAAACTAAGCAAAAAAATAAGACGTAAGAAAAATATCGTTAGAAACGATGAAAATGATGCTGAACTGCTATGCAATATCAAATCTCCTATGGAACAATGAACTGTGGACAATTTCTTAACAGATGAAAAAAAGACTTTAAAGACATGTGATTTCGCCAACGAACGTTAATAATATCATTGACAGATATTGGGCACCTTGGTGTGCTGTAATGTTTAGCAAGATCGTCTCGCTACCTCACTTACGACTGCAAAGTGAGTTCGATCCTCACCAGGTGTCCCATACTTTCGGCCTTGTATCACATCTAAGCGACACTTAGAAAATAACTATTTAGTCACCTGGGCATGCTTGTCTCGCAAATCAGTTACGATTAAAAAGTGAGTTCGATCCTCAGTAGATGTCCAATACTTTAGGCCTTGTACCACATCTAAGCGACACTTATAAAATAATTATTTGGGCACATGGTCCTGGTGTAATGGCTAGCAAGCTTGTCTCGCTAATGAGTTACGACAAAAAAATGGGTTCGACCCTCACTAGGTGCCCCGTACTTTCGGCCTTGTGCCATATCTAAGCGACACTTAGAAAATAACTATTGACAGACATATGAGAAACGAAATTGTAAGAAAAATAGGAAAAACAACAAAACTATTCACAATCAGAAAGAGAATAACATTTCTGGGACACATAATGAGGAAAGAGGGCTTAGAGAATTTAACACTCACTTGTCATGTTGAAGGTTAGACGATCTATGGAAAATAGCGAGTAATCTAGTTAAGGAACACCATCTATCAATGGATAGCGAAGAAAAGACAAGTATTTATTTATTTAATAACGTCTTTTTAAAGCCAGAAAATAATTTTAGATAGTGTAATTGGTGGGGGGGGTAATAATGATCTAACTGATAGTTGTCCTACTAATTAACCCATAGCTGGGAGAGAAGGGGGATTCGTAGCTTTTCCAAGAGTATTTGCGCCTAAATGAATATAGGGAACTCGACTGGAATTCGAACTCGGATCTCGGATTAACAATTTCGTACCGTTATCCATTACACCAACTGCACACCCATGTTTGCAGCATCTGGTATTCCCTAACGATCAACCATCTAGTTACTTACCAGGTTCGGTGTTGCTTAACTTTGGAGAACGTGCCGGAAGCAGTGTTTCAACTTGATGTGACCGTAAGCCCAGGGAAAGGTGAGATAGTAAAGGGTAAAACAATTCGTACAAGAACAAAATATAGGAAGCCGTTGGAAGATATGATCGGCTACATCGTGAATACTTTTGTGTTTTAAGAAATTACATTTTAATTGAAAAATAAAACTAAGGCACCAGTAAGCGGTCTGTACAATTTAGAGAGGAATCATACTTATTGTAGGAGACAATGGCCGGACAGTACTTAACTGAAGAAGCCTAGATAGAACAACGGACGAAACGTTATGGTAAAAACAACAAAGATGAGGATATTTGTCCGGATGAAAGTAATACAAATAAAACAGATTTCATTTAAATCATCACAAACAACCTGTTTTGCCTGCCTTCAGCATTGCTGTTGCTAAACCTCAAAAGAGCAACACTCTACGCCAACTGAAAGGAAAATTAGTTCACTGTGTCATTCTAGAAAATTAATCCATTTTGCACATTTGGCTTATAAATTTTAACACCTCTAAAACAAAACTGCTTTCATTTAATTACCACAAAGAACCTTTCCACTTGTCATCAGTTTGGCTAATGCTAAGCTCTAGGAAAGCAACACTCTACGCCTTTTTGGACTGATGATTTCCCCTGACATGAAGTCGAGTGACTATAGCGAATCAATTGCTACGCCTACTGAAAGGAAATTTATTTAACTGTGTCTTGGCAGACATT